CGAAAATGGTTTGTACATATTAGGATAATTCAAAATTTGAAAGTGCCTACGATTTGCATTTAAGCATATTTCTGTATTCCACAAAAAAAAATCCGATACCAAAAAAGAGCAAAAATGGGTTAATATAATAATGGCCAAGAAAATAGATTAATATTTTTACTAACGCTAATTCAGTAATTAATATAAGAGAAAAACGAATTACAGTACATAATCACACGTGAATTAGTTACTTGGAGTCGAATTTTAAATCGGTTTGAGCCAGGCTACATCAGGTTGTTTCAGCTCAATCATCAGGTTTGACACCGAACCTGTTTCAAAATCAGGGAGTGTCTGCTACGCTTCAGGGTCTTATACTAAGTTAATCTTATTGAAATTATAATTACAATATGAAACAATTATACGTATACAAAAAATATTAACAAAGTCAGAAGCTAATAACGATTTTATATTTACAACTTATTATGTTAGAAAGATCACTATGTTTTAAAACCTAACGCTTACCTGATTATGTTGATATAACCCACTCCACACACCTATTTTTGAATTGCAGCGTTAGTTATTTACGTTTAGTTCAGTAGTTATATAATGTATATACAGTATATATATATTACAGTATATACCAGTATATACAGTAGTATATATCGAATATTGTGTATTTTTTTTTTTTTTTGCATTATTTTATAGACACCCTTAACAGGTTAAAGTTTTCCTTATTGTCGAGATAGTCAGTCGACTTTACGTAATCCAGAAATCCATCAGAATATCAAAATTTTAGACTACGTTGATCACACCGATATGCTTTTCAATACGAACAGAAATAACTATAGCAAGGTAAGAAAAAAAGTTACATACGTACGTACATACATACATATCATTACATATCGATACGTATCATTTCTCATCATTTCAGGAGTGTTATAACTACAATCAAAATTCTAGTTTAGTTTAGTCGATACTTTAAAGGTTTTTTTTTTAGTGTTAGAAGCGAAAAAAATAAAAATAAACAACATTGCAACCGGTTTTTACCATAAATACCGAAATGAGGAAAGACCAAACCATATAGATCTATGTATTGTCTCATACGTATAAATCTCTTGATTGTATTATTATAGATATTATTATTTCAGTATTTATTATCGTTATCGTTATTATATATTATTATTTATCGTTATTATTTCGGGTATTCCAGTATTCACACTTGACCTAACTTGAATTCTATTACAGTATTAACAAACAATTTATAAATAGAACTGAGTGGCTTTAGAATTACCAATTTTTTTATTCTGTATAACCATTTTTGTTGGTTTACTACACAAGTTTTTAATTTGCCAATCTTTTTATAGATTTATTAATATAATTATGTGTATGATATATATATGCCTGCTCGGATATGCGAATAATAAAATTTGCCGCATAATTATAATTCATCTATTTACTAAAAAAGAATTAGTGTTACGAAAGCCCTATCGCACTAATTTTATCGGTAATTAACATCGTCTTCCCTAATTCGGTGACACGAAATTAATGCATCGATTTTCGTACATACCGTAAGTTCTAATTATACTACGTATTAGTTATACTATTAGTTATACTTAACTTACGTATACTTTAATCAACCGTCCAATTTTGATGTTTCATTTGTAACATATATGGACAGACAAAGCATATTTTTTATTATAGTGATCAAAGCACCTTTTTTTTTTTAAATTTTAATATCTTTTTCATTCTTTTTCTCTTAAAAAAAATTTATTACCTCTAAAGCTTTTACTTTTTGAAAAATGAGCTACTATGGGGTAATTTTTGTACTTGCTTTATTGTAAGGTTGTTGTTACTCATCTATAGAATGTTAAAGTTGTTATTTTTTTCAAATTTATAAGGGTGGTTATAAGCCTGCTCCGGGGCCACATGGCTCGGGAATGAGTCCAAGTCCACCTGTTCCTTCTTTTTTTGACGAGGTTGGTAAACCATTTGGTCTAATAAAAGTCTAGTAAAAAGTTTAATAGAGTTAAATGTAGGAAGTAATATTTACTAAAACTCGTTCAAATTGATTGTCGAGTCTTTGGATAATTAAATTTTCAAAAGTTTCAGTTTTATAATGTTTACTTTATCGAAATATTGAAGTTACTTGAATTTATTTCGAAATTATTTCGAAATTATCTCGAAATTATCTCGAAATTATCTCGAAATATCTCGAAATTATTTCGAATCTATTTTCGAATTTATCTCGAATTTATTTCGAATTTATTCGAAACTATTCAAATCGTAGAATTAGATTATATATGATAATTATGCAAATTAGAAGTGTTAATTCACTTAGAAAGTGGACCTACCAATTACCTTATTAATTATTTATAATTAATGTTTATTATTGGTTATTTAGGTTTCTTCTATCCAGGATATGATTAAACTAGCCCAAGACAATATCTCACGTATAGATGAATTGCATTCTCGATCTTTGGGCACTGTTAGTGAAGATGAGGCCATAAAACGTCAACTTGAATCCCTTACCGAAAATACGCGAAACATTTTAGTTCAAACAAAAGATAAAATTAGAAAGTTAGAGGCGTTAAATTTAGGTTTACCTCCTAGTACCAGTGATTTAGCTGTTCGACGGGCTCAAGTAAATAGTTTTTTTTTATCTTAATTAATCTATTAAAATATATATATTAGTTTATTTTTGAGTCTTTTATATCTAATTTATTTATGTTTCAGACGGCAAATTTACGTGAAAGATTTTTACAAACATTACAAAAATATCAAAATATTGAATATCAAAATCGGCAGAAATATAGAGCACGAATGGAAAGACAATATAAAATTGGTACATATTTTTATATTTATTATACTTGTTTGTGTTATATTATGCTTATTATTGCAATTTTACAATTTACGCAAGAATCAATAATATCTTTGAATATTAGTTAAACCTCAAGCTACACAAGAGGAAATTGATGCTGCTCTAGATAATGATGAGGGTGGTCAATTCTTTGCACAGTCGGTATGTTATTATTTAAAATAAAATCTTTTTAATTTTAATTTTGTTTTACTTTCTATTTTCTCATTTTAATTTTTTTTTTTTAGCTACTAAATTCAACGAGATATGGCGCTGCAAAAGATGCTCTAAGAGAAGTACAAGAACGTCATGATGACATTAAAAAGATTGAGAAAACTATTGCTGTAAGTTTTGTAAATTTAATATATTTATAATTTTTTTTTCTGACTTTTTAAATTAATTAATATTTTTTGTATTTTAGGAACTTGTTAATCTTTTCCAAGAAATGCAGATGTTAGTTGAAGCACAGGATGCACCAATTGCTGCTGTTGAAGAACATGCTGTTCAAGTCACTAAAGATATGGAATCTGGTGTTGCACATGTAGAAAAGGCTTTAGAGAGTGCGAAAGGTGCTAGAAAAGTATGTCAAAAAAATAATAATAATAATAATAATTTTTTTTTAATCAAGTTGGATTTAATTAATATTAATAATTAATATTAATAATTAATATTCATTCGTAACTAACATATATATTTTATAATTACAGAAAAAATGGATATGTCTTTGCATTTTAATCATCGTCTTAATAATTGTGGCTGCAGTAGTTTATTTATATTTCTTCAAAGATAAAGTTGGTGGTGGCAGTAGTAATACTAGTAATAATACTAGTCAAACCCCAAATACCACAAAAGCTAATAGTACCAGCACCACGTAATGGAGAACAATTGATAATTTAGATAATTTGTATTCTAATTTCTCGGATAGAATAGGCAAATTTCTTTGAGAGAGAGCATTGTTAGGGACATTGTGAAAAAAAAATTTATATATTCAAAGCAGGGAAAAAGAGCAAAAAACATTTAACGTCGTAGTATATAATTAGGATTTCACTCTTTAGAATTTTTTTTTTCTTATTTATTATTTGACTTTGCTTTTTATCAAAAAAGTTTTTAAGTAGAGTCTTAAATATTCATTTGTCAACTTTGTAATTTTCATTAATCATTCCCTACTTTAATATTTTGTCGTTTCCTTTTAGAATAACTTTATCTGTTGCATTTCCATCAACTTTAGTTACTACAATTACTTCCTTATAATAAACCTTCATACATCTTTTTCAATTCACATTATTATCGTTTTTTTAATAATTTTGAATCTTAATCCTTTTGGATACCATATAATAAAAATAGATAGCACTTTGTTAGTCTTCTTCACTAATCACGCATTTTTGCGGACTATAAAATCTTTAGAAAAAAAAAATTCTAAATTTCTTCGTTCATTTTAATTATATTATTATTATTATTTATTTTTATTTATTATATATTTTTCTTTATTTGTAGTATAAAGTAATGTAAAAAAAAAAATTACATTTTTCTTTATCAATCCAATTTTTCCAGTTGATTTTTCAACTTTGAGATTTCATCATCTTTTTTATCTAAACTGTTTAATAAATGTTTAATTCGATATTTTAATTTGGAATTTTCTATTTTTAATAATTCAGTTTCTTTGTCTGATGTTAATTCAGTTTTAAGTTTTGGTGAAATTTTAGAACCTAAACCTATCAGTTATTTTTATACGGTATATATTTACAATGTATATATATTTATATATATATATATTTATTTATTTATTTATATTAGAAAGGAATATAAATAAATATACGTACCAAAGAAATATATAGTATTAAAAAGTAACTACCAGAAATTATTTCGTTTAATTCTTTGACTTGTTCTTGTAAACCTTTTATAGTGATTTCGGTCGGAGTTGGCTGAGGCATTATGTTAATTTATCTATCCGAAAAAAGAATTTTATACGTACAATACAAAGAGAAATTTCAAAAAGAATTTACTAAAAAAAAAAACGAGACAAGCGAGTATATACTGTATGATAATCTTTCATTTATTTATTTCTGTCTCATGATTGGTCAGATTATATGTGACAATATTCACATGACATTACTAGAGTTAGTGAAGCCACTCTCTCGCGCTTTGAGACGAACTGTATTACTTAAACATGGATCAAAAATTTGTTTCCTCAGCGGAAATAGAAGAAGCCAGAAAAAAGCGTGCTGAAGAATGGAAGGCTGCTTATGAAAGACTGGGAGAAAGTATATTTTATAATGAGTAGTTCGATGCAAAAGAATATGAATTTTATGATTCACTTCTTTTTTTTTTTTTTCTTAGAACCACCAGAAATAGAAGAGGAGTATGATCCTCGTACTTTATACGAGAAATTACAAGAACAAAAAATGAAAAAAGAGGAAGCTTTTCAGGAAATGACAAGATTCAGTACGTTACTACCAAAAAAAAAATAAAAATAAAAAAAAAAGTTTACGAATTTTATTACAAAATTAATTAGAAAATTGAACCTTGAGTGAACTTTTTCAGGTAATCTGATACATAGACTTGATGAGGATGAAATAGATTTTTTGGCAACATTGGAACATGAACAACGTGGTAAAGAAAAGGAAAAAATGAAAAAAGTTGAACAAGAACTTGAAGAGTTTAGACGGTCGGTCAGAGTTTGATCCATTCTTATTTTAAATATTATACTAATTTTTAATATCTTATTTTGTATTTATCAGAGCTGCTGCCAAGGCTGATGAAGAAGCGGCACCAAAACTTATAATTCAACCTGAAACGGTCTCAGCAGCACCAATAAAGACTTCCGTAAAAAAAGATGCACAACGAATGATTTTGGAGAGTGCTATTAAAATTCCTTCACGTAAGAGATCACTAAATAATGATGATACTCTTTCATCTAATTCTAATGAACAATCAAAAGATCAGAAGCGTTCAAAACTGGATTCATCTTCAAGCAAAGAATCATCATCATCAACCACATCAAACAATAACATTACTAATAATAATACTTTAGCATCTTTGTTAGCATATAGTGACAATAGTAGTAGTGATGAGAATACCAGTGATGATGAATCATAATAATAGATGGTATTATCTAAAGGTAAATTAAAGTTTTTTTTTTGAACTATTGACTACAACTTAAAAATTATATTTTCTAATATTAACCAAGATTAATTTTATTATTATTATTATTATTATTTTTAATTGTAAAAATTTGGTATTTTTAGTAATAATATTTAATAAAGTGTGTACGAAATATAATTTGATCCTCGGGAATTAGCAGAAACGAAGTTTTCGCTTATTCACCTATTGATTAGGATATTATTCATTAATCTCCCTTGATCTCGATGTAATGATTAAAAATTAATACTAGATATTAGCGGATAGTGATCGAGAATTAATAAAAAAATAAAAATAAAAAAATAAATAATATATATAATAATAAATAATAATGCCGGTAATGCATAATCTATATACCGACACTAAAGTTCATACATCCACATCCGTGATCCAGTCCAAAGTTTAGGACAGTATTAATATTTATATTTTTGCTAAAAAATATATGTTGACTGTATGCGTATAAAATATGTACAGTATATACATACTGGTAATTAGATTAAAATTCTTCTTAACATACAAGAATTCACGTTTATTTTAGCGATTTATTTTATTTTTAAAATATGCTGTATTTATCTAGACAATTTTATTGAACAAGTTATTTTTAAAATTTTGCTTTTATCATTATAATCATTAATAACATTTATTGAAAAAAAAGGTTAGATGTGGGCTACATGTCCTCGTATTCTTGGTGCAACATTCAAATTACCAAATACATCTAGGATGTGATAAATTATAAATTTAATTTTAGCGTCAGCGGTCATTAAATAATATACAGTATACATAACATTTTTCATTTTATTAAATATGAGTGCCGTTAAGGGAAAACCTGTCATCGGGCTTTTAATTATTCCCTCGGGTACAATCATATGGTATGCATATTTTAGTCTTAGGGATGCATTCGGTTCGGTCTTGGGCCAATAGACCATGGTCCGTTAGGGTATTTCATATACTAATTAATCAAACATATGCGAGGTATTATAGTAAAAAATCAATAGTACAGATTTTATGCATA